AATCATCGAACTTTGTCAGTTCAGGAATCTTGGGTTCTCAGAGTATGCTAACCAAAATGTAGGTCAATTGACCTACTTTACGGATTTCAAGGCTTCATATCAATTATATAGGATACTAAGAGGCTTCAAATAGAAGTGATAGGTTGTACAATTTATCAGAAGATCCATTCAAGGTCCTTGGGGCTCTTGTTACACGTAGTTATTTTGACAACTCTGCATGGTTAACATTTGTCTCTTTTCTCAGAAAATACAACACAATATATATATATATATATATATATATATATATATATATATATATATATATATATATATATATATATATATATATATATATATATATATGCTTTAACTCTTGTTGCATTTCTTTAAAAGTTCAGTTTCAGTTTTTAATAACATATGCAAAGGTAAATAACAGCACCCCCCCCCCCCCCACCACCAATAAAAAAGTAAAATGTTGTAGTACAAGATGTAAAATGCACATTATCTATAACACAGACTGCTTTCTTGTATCAAGGACCTTTCAAGATATTAAAAACAATTATACTAAAATGCAAGAATAAGGTTTTTTTTCATACTACATAGTATTTGCCTGAGAAACAAAAAAATACTCTATACACATACAGAATAAACAAAGAAAAATGAACCACATAGCTCACCTGAGTTACTTTGGTCCTGTTTTCTTCAGAATATTTTAAATGAAAAAAAAATTTATTTCTTCATTCTTATGAAAACAATTTGCCCCTGTATAGTAGGGCTGTGTATTGAGCAAAATATTTCGATATGATACGATATTTTATAAAGCGATATGCGATATATTGGATTCTTTAACAAGTCAATCAAAAAAGTCTTGTATATCATTCATTTTAATCCATAGATTTGATAAAAACTGGGTGTTTTATTACCAAATTGGAAGTCCATATCTCACTGTCTTTACAAAGTACACTTCAAATTCAAACTTCTAATGATTGTAAAACTAAAATGTTAAAATATAGTTTATGTTTTTTGTAATAGTTATTTAAGATGTGCTATCTCCTTAATGTTTATTTCACTATTGATCATTTTTAATTCAAAACAATTAAAAATAACCTTTGGTGACTGAAATTCCCAACTTTTTCACAGAATTATAAGAAAAACTGCCTGCCCGATACGTATTGGAAGTTATTTTTCGATACGATACATTCCTGAATATTTGATACGTATTGATTAATCGATATATTGACACAGCCCTACTGTATAGTTTTTACACTTGGCCAAATGCATTGTGATTAGTTTTGGCTCTAGTGTTCTTCAAAAAAAAAGATTGTTAAAGATTTTTTTCTTTACTCCCCAGCAAAACTTGGATCCCCCATTATGATTCCACCCTAAGGGCCACAATTCAAATGAAGTTAATTTTGCACTACCCTGAGGATGCTCGACTAATCAATTCTTATGTCAAACTGACCTCTTATTTTAGCCCCAACATACCCCCTTTGATTAAATGATCAATTTAAAATCTATGCTACATCAAAAAACTTTAAATTCCTTTATATTTCCATGTTAAAGTTAGATCCCTATCTTGGACCTATGCTACCCAGGGTTCTCCACATTTGAAAATTTAACCATGGAGGAAGCTGTGCAAAAGCGAAATGTGACTGAAAGCATGAACATGTGTTAGACTCTCTTAACTTCATTAATCAATGATCAATTGTAGCCTACCCATGGTCACCACAATTTGATAAATTCAGAATTCACACTATCCTTTGTCATAAACCTTTCATCTTTTTGGCCGAGAGGTTCTTGAGAAAATTTTTAAATAATCCCTTCCCCCACCCCATTTTTGCCTTTCTTGATAATCTACTCTTGGAAGGGGGAACCAGTGGTTCTCAAGAAGAAGTCTGAAATGATTACAGTATATAGACAAACAGATGCTGCACAATGGATGATCAGAAAAGCTCTCTTAAGCTTACAGCTTAATCTGAGAAGATTAAATTCTATCATTTCTATGTAAAACTAATTCAGTGAAGATCTCTTTCTTTACACATCATCATCTGTTAGGCCAAACCAAAAATACTCTCAATACATGAGCGGCGATTCAGCAACTGGTAGAGGTGTCATTTATTGCCAAGCTCTGAAAAAAAATTAATCTATTTCAGTGCATATTTCAAAAAGTTTAGTGCAAAAATTGACTAAAAATATTTAAAAAGCATTTTCTCTAAAATATTTTGGTCCCCATTTGATTTTAAACTCCAATTTGAACAAAATGTACAAACCTTTGAACTTGAAATTGTTAAATTATACCTGTTTAGCTATTTTATGGGTGTCCTATCAAGACTGCCCTCTTCTTGATTCAGTTGTTGGTACAAATTAGGTTTTAACCAATATTTGGAGTTGACCTTGACCTAAATGGTGCTTTTCGATCTCCTCGAATAAGAAGAAACAATACATGATTAGCAATACAAATAGAAACTTGTATGATTATCATCTTGTTACTTTATATATGTAAATTAAAAAATTATGAAATTCAATGCAAGTTGTTAACTTCATTAAAAACATATATTTGTTATATCTGCTAAGTTCACAATGTAATTTAAAGCCAAGGGCAATGAAAATCAATTCGCTATAAGCATCAATTCATTGTAAGCATGTTCACATTAACCGTGTTTTACTGTACTGACCTTTGGACTTGAAACTGGTGCATTAATTCATCATCTTTTATCTTGCAAATCCAATACACAGAGTGGTTTCTTTCAAGCTGACATCAGTCTTGGCCTTTGATCTTTGACCTTGACATTGGACAACATAAAATATATCTGTATAAGTAATTCCATTATGTATGATTGCTGGTTTCCTTTTCGTTAAAACATACAGAAAGTAGATATAGAGAATTATAAATTTGAAATGCTTGTAAATGAAGTGTACCACTTTCAGCTGCACATTCCTAATTCTGCAAAATGGTTTTCCATACTCATATTCCCCAGTCAGCTGAGCATGCGTCAATCTAAAATACTATTTATAGTTAATACATTTTTAATATACATGCATTAATCATATATATATGTGTATCTACAAATAATATAAAAGAATACATGTACATGTATATTTAAATTTTCAAGAAACTATATTTTTTTTCAATACAAGAAGTTGCACAAACATTGTTTGCTACTAATTATTTTTTTTAATTAATATGAATCCATGTATTAAAAGCATCTTTTCATAAAAAGACATAATTTAATAATGTGATCATTAATAATATTATCTAAAATTCAGGTTTAATGTATTTGCCCAAAATTACAAGAAGTAAAAGAAAACCTACCTATACATATCTATCACCAGTCTTGGCCGGTATGGATCTGCAGTTTAATATGTTGATGGTTCAGTACACACAAATTACTGTTACTTGGTACTAAAAAGAGAAAAAATGTATATAGATGATACGTTTACATTTAAAATGCAAAAATATAATGCAGTAGGTGTTGTAATTTATCTGTATATAGCAGGATGAAGCCCCCCTTCCAATTTAGCCCCCGAGTTCTATATTTGAATGAGAGAGTAAGCAAATTTCTTTTGAATGTATTGTAAAACAACTTGATTCTAAATGCAAATGAAATAAAATATTTCTTCATGTTCTTAACTGCATAGAAAATTAAAGAGCCATTTATCTTAATTGTATAACAAATGTGTCGATAGACAAATTCGAATTTCCTCGATGAAAACTGCAGAATGTCTTCGATTGTTGGAATGCCGTTCATATGATATATTCCAAAGAACCATTACGTAAAATACATGTTTAGAACAGCAAACTAAGCTATTCATAAAGATTTACAAGGGAAAAATCACCTGAACTTACCTTACTTGTCAGCTGGGACGAACGGGGAGGCTGGAATCCCAATACACATTTTAGCGGTTTTTCGGTGTTAGGGAAGCGCTTACATATTATCATACTCAAGCGAATCATGATTGCGTTTGGAAGTCACATATCCTGGCGCAATGCAATCTTGACTGCGTTTGAAGAAATACATCCTGACTTGGCCAGGATTGACGCTTGAATAAATCATGACTGTGTTTGGAAGTCATACATCCTGGCGCAATGTTATCCTGACTAGGCCAGGATTGACGCTTGAAGAAATCTTGCCTGCGTTTGAAGAAATACATCCTGACTTGGCCAGGATTGACGCTTGAAGAAATCTTGGCTGCGTTTGGAAGTAATATATCTTGGCGGAATGCAATCCTGGCCGACCAAGATAGGATGGGCATATGTTGTCAATCCTGACTTGGTCAAGATTAAATCATGACCTGGACAAGATAGGATGGTCATGTTATCTTGACTTGGCCAGGATAGGATGGTCATGTTATCAATCCTGACTTGGTCAAGATAGCATGGCCATGTTATAAATCTTGACTTGGCCAAGATAGGATGGCCATGTTATATGATGACCGGCCAAGACAGGATGGCCATGTTATCAATCCTGACTTGGTCAAGATAGCATGGTCATGCTATAAATCTTGACTTGGCGAAGATAGGATGGCCATGTTATATGATGACCGCGGCCAAGATAGGATGGCCATGTTATCAATCCTGACTTGGCCAAGATAGCATGGCCATGTTATATGATGACCGCGGCCAAGATAGGATGGCCATGTTATGAATCCTGATTTGGCCAAGATAGCATGGCCATGTTATATGATGACCGCGGCCAAGATAGGATGGCCATGTTATCAATCCTGACTTGGCCAAGATAGCATGGCCATGTTATATGATGACCGCGGCCAAGATAGGATGGCCATGTTATGAATCCTGATTTGGCCAAGATAGCATGGCCATGTTATAAATCTTGACTTGGCCAAGATAGGTTGGTCATGTTATCAATCCTGACTTGGTTAAGATGATGAAAATCATGGCTTGGTCATGTTTGAAATCTTGACATGGTCATGATTACCATCCTGACCGGCCAGGATTGATTTACAATGAAATATATAGAACATGACATGGGGGTCCCCTATGGCTTTCCATACGATACTGTTCCCGGTCCATCGCATCTCTTGTTTACATTGGATGCACAACACAGCGATCAACGAGAAGTGTAATATAACTACTGTATATATTTAACACGCGAAATATTAATGATGAGTGACTCAAAATACGGCTCCATGACAATTGTAGATCTTAAAAATGAACTAAGAAAAAGAAATGCCAGGATAACGGGTCGAAAACAAGAACTGGTCGACAGGTAATTCGATACTGAAAACCGCATGACAAAATCTCGTGCTGCATGCGGACAATGTGAGCTCTTCGTCTTAATAATTTATTGGTCTGGCGATAAATTAAATAAACGTAATTTATAAATATCAACAGTTCCTTTTTCTTTTAATTTTCCACAGACTGGAAGCATATAACAGAAACTTCAACTTCGGAAAAGTTGATCAAATTGATCCAGAATTTTGTATGCAACTTCCAAGTTACGATACATACGCTGACGTAAATTCTGACACTCCTTTTTTCTGGTATGACTATGGATACAATTTGTAATTATTTTGCGAGGTTTGAGAAGAAATTTGAAAGCCATTTCATTCACCTTTATGACGACAATTTCCTGACATACTACCGTATATCCATCAGTTCGGCCTGTACATTTACAAAAGGAAACTGTCGTGCAGAAATGAGAAAGGGTGTTTGTTACACAATAGATATTAAATTGAGCAACGAGGGGTCTGTTCTGGAGGCCCAGTGCGAATGTGCAGCAGGCATGGGGCGTGATGCACATTGCAAACATGTAGCTGCTGTTATGTATGGTACTGTCATGTTTGCAAAAAATAAATTTATCAAGACCGAGGAAACATGCACACAACGTTTGCAAACTTTCCACAAGTGTAAAAGTTTCAAAGGCAGTCCCATTAAATCTGATGAACTGAATTTACCTGGTGCTGATGAATTAACAAATATTGCTATTGACCCAAAACCTGAAGAATTCAGAAATAATCCATCTTATCCTCACTACTTTAGAAATGTATGTTTGAATTTCCCAGGTATTTCCAAGATGCCAATCTACCAGACATTTACACCAGCAAACATGATTGCAGTAGCACATGAGCATGATTATCTTAAATTATCTCCTGAGGACAATTTTTTGGAAAAATTACAAATAACAAAAAACTCAGATTCCCAAATTGAAAATATTAAGTCAGCAACAAAAAGGCAAAGTCTAAACAAAACATGGAAGGTGGAAAGAGCAAAATGTTTAACATCTTCGGTATTTGGTAGAATATGTAAGTGCACTGATAGAACTGAGAAAATGAAACTTTCCATGTCACTTACAGTTATTAAAAACAATAAAAGCAATTCAATTGAGCATGGTCGCAGGCATGAATCTGTTGCAATCAAGAGATTTGAACAAGATAAACTAACCAATGTTCAATCAAGTGGTCTTGTCATTTGTAAGGAGTACCCCTTTCTTGCTGTATCACCTGATGGAGTCATCAATCAAGAGAAACTCATAAAAGTCAAATGTCCATATGTCAGTAGAAATAAATGGATTTCAACTTCTACAGTGCCATATTTAAAGCAGACCAATGAAGGGAAATATTGTCTTGATCAGAACCATGACTACTATTATCAGATACAAGGACAACTATTGTGTACCGGTGCAAACGCATGTATTTTTACTGTATGTTTAGCAAACAATTTAAAAGTAAATGACATCATATACATTGAAATCAAACGTGATGATGCATTCATAGCAGACATGATTAACAAGCTAAACAACTTTTACATGGAATACTTCAAACAAGCTATTCTTGAGAAATATTTCTACAAGCCTTACAGTGAATCATTGTGAATGTGCGCAATAAAATATAAATAGAGAAATTTTCTTATCCGACTACAGCACATGTAGTGTTGTTTATATTTCTTATGTTAACTAGCATCAATATTTCTGCCAAGAATACAAAACATTCTAAAAATGAAAGTTAAAGATATTAAAAAAAATGTTTTTCCTATGCATTTGATGATACAATACCAGTGCGAAAATTGCACAACATAAAACAGACAAAAACTATATCTGATGACATGCATGCTTCGGTACTTGTTAAAGGATGTGTTAATATTTTATATGTTGTATCAAGTCCAATAATTCTTTCTATATGAACCCTTTTACTTGATACCTTCCTGTCATTGAGCACAATTGTTCCCGACATTCTGTTTCTATTTCTAAAAAATGTAGGAATGTTTATAGTAACATCTTTAGAAGCAAAAATATCTTGCACGTTGAAACCCTTATCAGCCATTAAACTGTCACCTTGATTACACAGATTTTTAAGACAACTTCTCTCAACTATTTGTCTATCACTAGTTGACCCACAATATGCTGGGCTAATAAAGTTAACAAGGCCTCCTGGTGTACATCCTATTAGTGCTTTCATTGTGTTTCTGTTTTTGTATGTAGAAAATGTGGCTTGCTGTGCCCTAGGTGTACTTGGTTTTTTAAATAGGAAATTCAGTTGCATCTAAAATGGCTCTGGTAGTGGGAAATTTTGCCTTAAATCTGATGGTGCAAAATAACGAACAAGAGATTGAGAAGGCCAAATTGAAATCTCTCGCCATTGTTTTGACATAAACAAAATCCAAGTAAGAACAATATTTTTAACAGTACTTTCAGATACATTGAAAAATCTTGAAAGTTCAAAATTGGTAGTGTACCTTCGTAGTTTCATAAGTGTCATAAAAAACTGATTGGGAATAGATACCCCTTGAACTTGGAAAAATACACATCTTAAACAATAAGCAACAGGACCAAGTGACTGCAGTGTAAACAGAAATTTGGCATAAGTTTCAAGACCAGTATAAGAAAGTATGGCTGAATCATCCTTCTCGAACTGTTCAACTGAAAATATTGGCTGTGACTGTGTTTGTGTACAGGTGTCTCAAAGTTCAACAGTGTTTATTTTTTCCTCCTCATCACACACTTTTGAGTCATCAGCTAGAACAGTTTCTTCCACACAGTCTAATTCTGTAAAACTGGACTCTAAATTTTCATGGCATAATTCGTCAAACTTTCTTTTTCTACTATCCCTGCCTTCTGCCCTGGATGCTCGATCAGATGAATTTTCTGCCTCCTTTGTCCAAAAGAAAATGCTTGGCACAGCAGTATTCTTCAGTCTTCCAGATAGCGGTTTCTGTCCTACATATAAAGAGTAAAACATATTACACTGTGCACCAACGTTTATTTAAGTACTGAATTCTCAAACTATAGACCTTTGCTTTAGTTCTATGCTTAAACCAATGCAGTGTACACCCCCCCCCCCACCTTTTTGACGAAAAAGTATTTGATACTCTTAATGGATGAATAATAAAAAATCAAGTGAATAAAACGTAGCTTTAATATATTTTCTTTCCACAATATTAAATAAAAATCTCAAATTGGAATCCTGTATATATCTACAAATATACATACCGTATACACCATATACACAACATTTATTTAAGATTGTTCGCAGTACGTACGGTCACTCAATTCTGGTATTAACAATATGATGTCTAAAACTGAGTATTTAATAATTAATTGTCATTATACAATACCCTGAATAGTCTCTGTCACGTAGTCATCTGAAGTGAAATGTTTACAAACAACAGCTGACTTCGAAGGCTCCCACAACTTGTTTGTGCGCTCGTCCAAACGTTTAATGGCAACAATTCATTTGTTTCTCCTTAACTTTTCAGTTGGGAACTGATGTCCTCCTCTTTCGTGACACCCAGGCACACAACAACAATTACTAGGCATTTTTCTTTGTATTTTAAACAATCTTATATCTGATTCCCGTTTTATTTACTACGTGTTTATCACGATGCGGAAGTTTATCATGGACCGGGACACGTAGCACCACCACAACACGAACGATAATTCACTACTATTAACCATTGTCGTTGTGGTTTTTTGATTTTGTTGAATGATATTGCCATGGTAACATAAATCAAAATTTCTGTAAAATTGTTTTAAAATTATACTCCTCTTACAGTTTTAGTCTGATTGCAATAAACTTTGCCACAAAAAAGAGACTAAACAAAAGATCATTATTCTATTCATTGCTGTTGCAAAGTTTCAAGTCCAAATGATTCCTTTATATCTTCCTTTTTAAAGTACAACCAGTAGAGCTGCAGTCTCGTCAGAGACTTCTGGTTTTCGAAAGCATTAATCTTTATTTCCTGAATAATTAAGTGTCTACTAGTCTACTGATTGTGAAGCTTAATAATTAAACCATCACTATAAAATAGTAAAAATATTTCATATTACTAGACTTTATAACGTCATTTTAACAATCAGCAAGTTCTTTTTAACACAAGTGAAGATATATTATTCGGGTTTGTTATATCCCTGCTGCAGGTAGTAAATATTCCTCTAATGGTTGTTTTTTTTTTCATTTTTAGAAATAGAACAAGAATTGATCACTTTAGCAAATGAAATGGCTTTGTTTGTTTGATGGGGGATTTCAAAGCAAGAACTAGCCCCTACCTGATTATTTTATTCTTGACAGTCTTTTGTCAAAAGAAAATAAACATGATGATTTTACTGACAATGGAATTGAAACACGAAATTTTTTTGAGAAATATTCAATACCTTTAAAAAACATTGTTCAAGACTTGAATATTAATGATTTTGATCATAAACTACATTGTAGTAGATATTTGTAAAAACAATATTTATATAGTCAATAGCCGTCTAAAAAAAAAGACAAAAACATTGGCGCTGTCACATGTAAATATTGTAGTATGGTTGATAATGTCTTAGCTAGCGTAAATGTTTTTAAATAGAAGTTATACAAGAATTTGATAAACACGATTTCGGCAATTCATTTTCAGATGTACATTACATAAATGGTGCCTGTTTTGGAGGGTAACAGTTGAAATTGACACCCCGAGGAAAACCATTGTCAACCGAAGCGTCTCTACGTTCATGTTTAGAACGCTTTCAAACTCACCGCTTCGAAAAAGATTTACCGACCTCTTTATTGTTTGTTTAATACTTTGTCATCCTAAGTTTCGTTATTTCTACAGTCGCAAGGATGTTTCGTCTGTTTTGTTTTTTGTTTTTGTTTTCAAGTAAGCTACATCGGACACAAGCATTTATTGACGTCAAGTTTATTCGGCTTCCTTCAAACGCACAACTGACGTTTTGAAAATTCTACGGTGAACTGTACGCGCGTGATTTGCACGCTTGTGACATTTTCGTAATGTTACCTGTTGTCAAGTGTGTCGCTAACGCTGAGGGTAACATTACGGATTGTTAAATGCGTATAAACCAATCAGATTTTAGTATTTAACATGAAAGTACATGTATAATGAAATCCGTTATCTCTTACAATTTTCAGTCTTGATACATCTGTGTAAGTGAGAATCAGTCAAGTCTAAAATTGTAGTGTCAAGACAAAGCAGACCAGTATCGTAGCGATATTGCATTGTCAAGCGTAGAAGCTATTGAAAATTTTTTGAATGAATTATCTACTCTTATTGACACAATTAGCGGAACCATAAAAAATAATAATGTATTCTATTGCAAATATATGTTTAAACTGTATTGTGATGGAAATTTAGCCAATCCATGGTTAAATTGCATACAGAAAATATGTAATATGTGTGGTTTATCAAATATATGATATACGAACAGAATGTCAATGTAAATTATAAATCGATAACCACGATTGTAAAACAAATACATGACATAGTATTACATTGTACAGGATCAGTTTATTAAAAAATGGTTAAGCGATGAATAATAATTTCTCAAAAGGACAAATTTACAAAAAAATTTAGCAAAACTTTGGATTTGAAAATTATATTGATAAATTGTATCTTAAATTTAGAAAAATACTTTTGTAATGCAAATCATCAATTACCAGTAGAAAATGGAAGATGATATGCTATTCCACTTTGCTAAAGAATCTGTACACTCTGTAATAAATCTTAAATTACTGATGAATTCCATTTTATCCTAGAATGTAAAGCTTTAGTTAATGTTATAGAAAATTACCTAGGCAATTAATATTCTTGCAGGCCGAACGTTTTTCAATTCACAGTGTAGCGGCTTAGAGTAAACAAGCATGAAATTTGGAAGAATTATATATCAGAGGCTGCCGCAATAATGGCGATATTTCAATACTACTTGGACTTACACACGATCCATTTACTGTGAAATTTATCACATTTTGAAGTTTTGGAATATATTTTGATTATAACTAAGCTTTGTTAAAGACATTTAAACATCACATTGTAAAATAAAAGTTAAAGTACTTTCCATAACGCAATTCAATCCCGCAATATATGTATATTGTATCTCTAAGTTAGAGATGAAAAACGTTGAAAAATAGAAAAACACAAATAAACAAAAAATTCCAATCCAACTATAAAATTGAATTCAAAGTTTAAATACAACAGAAGACCTAGATAAATGAATGGGATGCGGACATACATTTTCCAAAAAAGTATTGAAATACCCCCCCCCCCCTTTCACCCCCAAAAAAGATATTAAATTGAATGAAAATATTGATGTTACTAAAACAATTTACAGGAAGCTTAGGAAAAAAGCAATTTAGGATGCAAAAACAAGATTGAAAAGACTAGAGCTAGATAAAGAGGTCGATCATAACTACATACAAGAACAAGAGACTTAATAAATGAGCTTGTTTAGAAGCTGAAGTTCATAGAGGAGATTTGAAGAAATATAAGATCCCATAACATCACGGGAACTCTAAAAAACAGATGGCGTCGGGGTAATAAGTCTTAGATGAGCTCACATTTGATCTCAGTCTCACTTTTACAAAAGGAAAAGAGAGTGGAAAAGTTCATTTTGTAAGTTTTAAGGCCCTTGTGGAGCCAACCCGGTCACAAAATGTTCGTAAAGC